CCCACTAAAGCCAGTCCCTAGCCTTGGGTGCGGTGCAGGTGTAATGGTATGGGAGTGGGAGGTTAGTTAGTGAAGACGCTGGAGGGGACCAGAGGTGAACAGAGGTGGTCAAAGTCAGAACCGCGCTTTGTATTCATTACCTCCTACAAGGATCAAGGTAGAAGGACAAGAGGCGGGGCCAGGGGACCAGGCAGCCTGCAGGGAGACAGGCAGTGGCCAGCCCACGACCAGGCATGCAGAATCACCCTGACAGCAAAGGCAGGTTACTTTAAGAGGCCAGACAAAACCACGTGGCTCTGGAGCCAGACTGTCCAGATTCAAACACCAGCTCCTCAAGTGCTAGCCCTGAGACGTTAGGTGAGGCTCTGAACCTCCTCCCTCGCTTTCTCATCTGTAAAATGGAGATGGGTAGATGTGAGTGTTAAATGGGTTAAAACATACAAATCACCTAGAACAGTGTCTGGCACAGAGTAAGAACACTATATATGCACTAGAGAGCATTTATAGAAACTATAAAAAGAAACAAAAATCAGGGATGGTTTTCTGAGAATAGATCCACCTGCTGTCTAGTTCCCCTAGGAGAGCCTCATGAGATATATGGGAATGGATTCCCATACTCCCAGGCATCAGATAGTAACAATATGAGTTAGTGAATCAGTAAAAGTTAAAGGAGTCTGTGTAACATTGGTAAAAATGTACGGAGTTACCAAGGTCTGTCAATATGTAAATCGATAAACCTTTGACTCTACAAATCTTTTCACTCTTGGGTTCCCTGAATTGAGCATGAGAGCCCTTCTGCTTCCTCGCATTTCTACTTCAAGAGCGGCTGTTTTTTTTTTTTTTTTAAACATTCTGGTGACCTCCTGCCTAAGCATAGGTCCCAAAGAGCCTCCTTGAGCCCTGCTCTGCGTTGTTGGGAAATCCTAGTTTCTTCCTGTTATCCAGAGGAAATAGTCATCACCAGGTGCCAGTTTTGGCTTTAAGACTGTAGGGAAGTAAAAATGCCCAGCTGTGGAATAACAGTCCTGGATCAGTCATCAGAATGCCCTTAACCTTTTCCAGCTTCATGTTTCCCTTATCTACAATTCTGAGGAGGAATGGGGGGATACTTTTATTATATTTTCCTCCTTCCTTGGGAGGATAATGCTCAGGAAAATAAAAACTAAGATCAATTGAGATTTTATTGTACTTCTACTCACTGATACTTCCATGTGTCTCAAATACAAAGTATCAAACAGAAAAGACTTGACCAGGAAGCTCCCCTATTGGGCCCATCAGGAGGAAGGTCACGTGATCTAAGGCTAGCTGACTGACTTGTAAGGCACCATATGCTTTTCTCACAGAGAAACTGAGTAAGGACAGACAACTCGAGGCATCCCAGCAGGTCCAGCATACTACAAACATTTACATTTTACATTTAATTTATAATAGGTGATACATTTACATATATTTACATAGTTCAGTACTTTAAGCATATAAAAAGACATGCAGGAAACACCCTCTCTTACTCTTGAACCCAGCTCCTCTCTCTGTCTAGGAAGCAAGCAAAGTGACCATTTTCAAATGGACTCCTCCAGAGATAGTCCATATAAAGAAATATCTATGCAGATTCTTTCTCCTTATTCTTTGGCTTTTTTCAAAAGGGGATCTTGTAAATAAGCACACAGTCATTTAAGGTCACACTTCTTATACACAGCCCTCAGAAATTCTTAACCAGGGGCGTGGGGACTCCTTAGAAGTCAGCAGATATAAAATTCAGGGAGACAAAACTGAAGGACTCTAGAAACCTGGATGGGAAAAAAACTCCCTTTATTTACACTAAGGTCAACAGAAATTTAACATTTCCTTCCATTATGAATGCAGCCAACACATTCACAAGAATTGGCAATATCTGTGACTTTCTCACCTTACCTGGTTGAAGATATTTTGAAAATATTTGCACTCATCCCTTCTCTGTCATTGTGGTACTAAAGGAAAACGGTTTCTTTACTCACCACACTCTGACACCAAACATGTGGGTTTTTTCTGCACATCAGTTTTGTGACTCTCTGGACACAAACTGGGTGCCTACGATTGCATTCAATTCTGAGGCTATCTATCTGGAGTTATTGTCAGACTCCACAGCTTTAAGACCTTGGTCCCACAGCCCTTCCTTCAGTTCAGATTCAGTCACAGTCATGGGTCCCTGTGGTACCACACTTCTGTTCAACTTGGCTGCAAAACTAAGGGTCCCACATACCCCACCTCAGATTGGATAATTTCCTACAGTGGCTCACCAAACCCAGAAACGTTTACTTATGTCTAGCAGTGTATCATAAAGGACATTATACAGGGCAGAGATGAACAGCCATGTGAAGAGTGAGGTCTGAAGGGACTGAGCCCAGGAACTTGTCCTCAGGGCGTTGGGGTGCAGCACCCTCCCCTCAGGTGGATGTGCTCACCATTCTGATCCCTATGCTTTAGAGATTTTTATGGAGGCTTCCTCATGATTATTAACGCAGTCTCCAGCCCTGCTCCCCTTCCTGCCAGACAGAGGAGAGGATTCAAAGTTCCAAGCTTCTAGGGAATTCCCTGGAGGTCCGAGCTCTCACGGCAGAGGCCCCTGGTTCGATCCTTTTAGTTGGAGAACTAAAATCCCACCAAGTCACGCAGCGTGGTTAAAAAAGAAAAAAAGTTCCAAACTTCCAATCTGGTGACCAGCTCCCATCCTGAAGCTAACCAGGAGCTCACCAAGAGTCCCTCATTAGAACAAAAGATGCTTCTATCACTCAGGAAATTCCAAGGAACTTAGGAATTCTGTGTCAGGAACTGTGGGCAGAGACTGAATATATATATATATTTCTTATTATGTCACAGGCAGGTAGTTACTAGACGTTCTGTTAGGACGGGTTATGTTATGCATTCATAAAGAAGCGTGTATGTGTGTGTGTGTGTGTGCTGTGTGCTAAGTCACTTCAGTTGTGTCTGACTCTTTGTGACCCTATGAACTGTAACCCACCAGGCTCCTCTGTCTATGGGATTCTCTAGGCAAGAATACTGGAATGGGCTACCATTCCCTTCTCCAGGGATCTTCCTAACCCAGGGATCAAACCTGCATCTCCTGTGGCTTCTGCATTACAGGCAGATTCTTTACCACTGAGCCATCAGGGAAGTCATATATATATGACTATATCACACAGCTATCTAAAATTTTTTTGATATCTGTATTTCAGTGAATTTTTTTTTGCTTTGTAATCTTATGTATTTTTTATTCATGGTAAACTATACATAACACAAAATTTACCATTTGAACCTTGTTAAGGGTACAGATCAGTGGCATTAGGTATATTCACAGTGTCATGCAAGCATCACTACCAGTCATTTCCAGAACTTTCTCATGTTCGCAAACAGAAGTTCTGTACCATCAAACAGTAACTCCCTATCACCCACTGTCCCTTCCCCCTCCAGCCAACCACCATTCTACTTTCTGTCCCTATGAATTTGATTACTTTAGATACCTCAGGTAAGTGGAATCATACAATATTTGTCCTTTTGTGGCTGGCTTATTTCACTTTGCATAATGTCCTCAAGATTCACTCATATTGTAGCATGTCAGAATTCCCTGTTCTTTAAGGCTGAATAATACTCCATTGTATGCATGTATCATTTTGTTTATCCATTCATCTGTTGAATTATTTTCTTTCCATCTTTCGGCTATAGTGAATAATGTTGTTATGAACATGAGTGTGCAAATATTTCTTTGGATCTATACCTTGAATCAGTTCAGTTCAGTTCAGTCGCTCAGTCTTGTCCGACTATTTGTGACCCCATGGACTGCAGCATACCAGGATTCCCTGTTCATCACTAACTCCCAGAGCTTGCTTAAACTCATGTCCATCAAGTCCAACCATCTCATCCTCTGTTGTCCCCTTCTCCTGCCTTCAATCTTTCCCAGCATCAGGGTCTTTTCTAAGGAGTCAGTTCTTCGCATCAGGTGGCCAAAGTATTGGAGCTTCAGCTTCAGTATCAGTCCTTCCAATGAATATTCAGGACTGGTTTCCTTTAGGATTGACTGGTTTGATCTCATCCCAGTCCAAGGTACTCTCAAGAATACTTTCAATACTTCTGGGTATATACCCTGGAGTGGAATTTCTTGATAACACGGTAATTCTGTTCAATTTTATGAGGAATATGTATTTATTTTTATGCATGAAAAATGTTCTGATAAGAAACATACCAGAGGCCCGATATACATTCCTTATCTTTGCATGTCTCCGCCACTAGATGGGGGACTTGATGGGCTGCCCTGCTCTCTGCCGCCCCTCAGTTAGCCCTTCCAGAGGTGGAGTAAATGCATTCAGCACCTAACGGACGAAATCAACAGAGAGGGAGAGTTAGGCTTCAGGATGGCTAATCAAAGATGCCCCAGTTTCTACCTGTGCCACTTGTAGAGGTACAACCTGAGGCAAAGTAACTTTCCTGGGATCAGATTAATTTCCATCCTGAACCTACAGCCTGGCCTTTTAGCACACTGCCTGGCACTCGAGAGTTTTGTTCGTTTTACCTGCAGGAGCAAAAGAAAGCCCTGGGCAACCTGCCTGGAGGCTTCTGGTCCGAGGCTGCTGGGAAGGGGTTGGGAGGCCCGAGATCACGCTCCAGGCTGACGCAGGAGTGCACAGGGAGGGGCCGGAGGATACCTTTCAAGCTCCGGTGCTAGCGCCGCGTCCCGGCCCGTCAGGACCGGCTGTCCCGCCTCCCCGGGTTGCACAGCGGATCTTCTTGGTGCAGCCCCTGTCCGCGGGCGCGCGCCGCTGGAGGTAGCAGCGGTTGGCCCTCCGCGCCGGCAGGCGGCGCTAGTCTTGTCCCGGCCGAGGGCGGCTCTCGGGCCGGGCTGCTCTCGGCGGCGGCGCACGACCGTCCGCGGGGCGGGGACGCGGCGACGGTGGCGGCGGCTCCTTGTCGCCCGAACCGGAGCGCGCAGGCCCGTCCCGGTGGTCGGGGGCGGGCGGGGCGGGGGCGCCATGTGGTTCATGTACGTGCTGAGCTGGCTGTCGCTCTTCATCCAGGTGGCCTTCATCACGCTGGCCGTCGGTGAGAGTGCGCGACCCGGCCCCGCGCGGGCTCCCGCTCCGGCATCTGTGCCCGCCGGGGGTCGCATCACGAGGGCGCCGGGGCGACCGGCGAGACCCCCGCCCGGTCCTCTCGCCTTCGCAGCCCCCTCCTGTCCCGCCTGGTCCTGCTTCTCCTCCTGGCCCCAGCAGCCTAGCTGACCGCGGGTCCTTCCAGGAGTCACAGAGTCCACCCCAGCGGTGTCCGGGAGAGGCTGCCTCAGGTGCCCCTTGCCCGCGCACCGCCAACCGCTGTCGCGCCCGTCCTCGCAGAGCAGGCCGCGCCGAACTTTCCCCGACCCCTACCGCCGCCCTTTCGCCTTTGGCACTTCGTGCTTCCTACTCTCTCTGACACGCTTTCCCCTCCTGGCTAGTTCCTACTGTTGATCCCAGCTGAGATCTCACCTCCTCCGAGAAGCCCTCCTTATGAGGTCTGATGGTCCAGCCGCGCCCTGTACTTCCTGTAAAGTAGCACCTGTCACACTGGGATCGTCTGATTCCATTACTACTCAATCGCCCCCCCGCCCCCGCCCCGCGCAAAGTTGGGTCAGGGAAGGGACCTCGTCTGTCTTGTAGTGTGCTCAGCTCTCAGCCCAGCACCTGTGAAAAAAATTCCCTTTTATGGGCCAGAGGTTAGGTTTTGTGCTGAGGCATCAAATACGGGTTTTCATTCACTTTTATGAAATCTCGCCTTAGTTGCCTTGACAAAGTTTTACTCATGACTTGGGAGGGTAACGCACGGGTTGTTTGGTTTGTTCCTTGTCTCATGGACTCATGAAAGGTTGGGTGGGACCCAGCTGCAGATAGAGGGCTGATCAGGATGGTGGGAGTGACCCTGGCTAATATTCTCCCTGTTTGCCTTGCTCTCCTCCCCGCCTCCAGCCGCCGGACTTTATTACCTGGCCGAATTGATAGAAGAATACACAGTTGCAACCAGCAGGATCATAAAATACATGATCTGGGTAAGTGACAGCTTTCCCCAGGATCCCCCTCACTCTTGACCTTCCTCAAAAGGAGAAAGTGGGGAAAGTTTGACCTGGGTGATGAGACCTCTGATCTTGCTGTTTCCTGAGGGTATCATCCCCCACCTCCCTCCCCTGTACCTGGTCCCCTGGGTCTGCTCACCTGGGCCTAGGTCTTCCGGAGCTTCTTTCCCCAGTGGCATCGCTTCACTGCAGGCCTTGTTCTCGGTTCCTTACGGTGAGAGTCAAGTGCCTGTTCTGTGTTGACAGGACCATGGCTTTGCCTTTGCTTGTCTTCAGTGGTCTTAGCCCCTTGCTCTGTTCACAGCATTTAGAACTGAGAGGAACCTTAAGGACAGTTTTGAGTAGTTGTTGGACCAAGTGACTTGTTCTAAGAGGGAGACACCGTCCCTGGCACAGGCCCTGCTCTGCTCAGGGCTCATGGAAGGCTTCTCTTCCTGAAGATAGAATCCGTGCTGTCAATGCCAAAGCCACAGGAGAGACTGCTGGTGGTTTCTGCAGCTGCAGGAGAGGCTGGGGAGGGACTGGAGGCATATCTGAACAGGAGGGGCCCACCGCCTCTCAAGTCACCTGCTGTCAGCAGCCACTTTCTCTCTGGGCATGACCTGGGGTAGGGAGTCAGTGGTGGAAACAAGACCATAGTGCTCAGCCCTGGGTTCAGGGACCCAGCTCATAGGTGTTGATACAGGAGTCAGTCCTTCATTCAGCTAACTGCCTGCCATTTGTTATGCCCTGACAACTATAAGTCCTTCAGAACTGTGTTTCTCAAACTGCAGGTGTGATTCCTTATTGGGTTGTGCAGTCAATTCAGCAGGTCATTATCAGCATTAAAAAAAAGGGGGATGGAAAAAACTAGAATTGAAATCTGAACTTTGATCACATATATGTGTGTGTGTTGGGGTCACAGTGTAAGCTGTTTTTCTTACTGTGGGGTGCTGTCAAACTAACTTTGGGATTAAAAAGAGCCGCCCTTCGGGAGCCGAGGCGCTAGTCGGGGACGTCAGAACTGTGCCTGCGAGACAAGGAGAGACCAGCGTGAAGACAGTGTTGCCCTGCGAGTCCAGGAAGGCTGCCTGGCAGACGCTCCCCGCACCGTGTGCCTCTGTTGTTTCAGTTCTCCACAGCTGTGCTGGTTGGCCTCTACGTTTTTGAGCGCTTCCCCACCTACATGATTGGCGTGGGCCTCTTCACCAACCTGGTCTACTTTGGCCTCCTCCAGACCTTCCCCTTCATCATGCTGACCTCACCTAACTTCATCCTGTCGTGCGGTGAGCGGGGACAGAGTGGGAGGGCCAGCTGAGGTGGTGGGATGTGCTCTGCTCCGTCTACGGCACCGAAGGGGGAGGCAGACCACTGAGGTCCTCCAGGAGGCCTCTCCTCCAGGTCGGGGCTCTCATGTGAGGACCCGGGAGCCCACACTGGCTCTAGTGACTAGAATTTGGAGGGCTGGGATGCTCAGAGAGGGACGGCTTTCCTGGGGCAGGTGGGGTCTGAAAGATTCGAGAAGGGAAAAGAAGTGGGTTGGCTGAGTAGTTACAGCCCTTAAGAAACCACTTGGCCAGGAAAAGCCCAAAGCCTTTCCCTGGCCTGCAGGCAGCGCCCCATCCAGTCGTCTGGCAGTGAGTCCTGATTAAGGTGCGCTTCATGGGGCTGCGGGTCTCCCTGCGGACAGCTGCCTTGGGGCTGACAAACGTGTTCAAAGGACCCTGGCCTTCCTGCCTTTGCTCTGCCACCAGTTTCTGACCCCGGGGAGTCAGTTCCCCTTTCTGACCTTAGCGTCTCCATCTGTTCAGTGATATTTGGGAAAGTCATTCGGCACATAGATGCTCTAGTTGTTTCTGGAAAAGGTTCTAGACAGAATCTGGTTACCAGGATTGCCTTTTCTCCCTTCAGTTGTTACTGGTCATCATAGCCTTTTGTCAAGATGTCAGATGGAATTGGGGTTTTTAGAGCTACTTTTCTATTTTTGCGAGAGAACCTGGAAAGAAATCATCCTTCACAGGAGGGCATGGTGTTCAGGCCAGGACTGAGTGCCTTGGTTTGATTCCACTGAAAGATTTGTTCTGTGGGGGTTGGTGTGAGGTGTCCTTCCTTGGGTCCTACGCCCCTCTTGCATCTTCCTAGGTGGGAGGGTGCTCCCCACTCCCCCCAGCCCCACCTACAGTAGCATGCTCCCTTGGCTTTCCTTTGTTTCTCCCTCAACTTGCCCTCTGAATGCCTGGGAGAGTTTTTCTGAAGGTCTGTGGGCGTGGGGCACCATCCTGTCTCCCAGCAAGCCCTTGCCCTAGAGCATGGCTAGGCATGGCAGAGCGGTTGTCCCTGCTCTAGAAGGGGAGTGGCAAGAGAGGAGAAAAGAGGACGGGCCCGTGCTATTGCTGGCGAGATATATGTGAGGGGTGTTGGGTTTGAGGGGATGTCTACCCTTCACTTCACCACAACAGGAATGCCTATGTCTGAGCAGCGGGTCCCCCCAGGATCTGTCTGAATCTGGCTGCACATGAAGGAGGTGTGTGGGGATGCAGAACGTACCAGTTCAGATCATCCAGCTTTACCCTGGGGCAGGATAAGGAGAGACCCGGAACTTTGAGCAACCCAGAGACTGCACCGCAAAGCATCCAGCAGATGGTGCCCTTTATTCCTGAGGGGTGAGAGCCTCTGTCTGGGGCGCCTCCTCCTGGACACAGGAGCCCCTTCCTCCTCCCCTACCGCCCGTGCAGAGCTCTCTTTAGGACTCACGGCCGCTCTAGACCAAGTCATTTGGCACGGTGCTTTGGGCTGTGTAGCACTGAAGCTTCATTTCTGTGACATTCAAGGAGTGTTTTATCCACTTCTAATGTAACTCACACGTGCACTCGGCAGTGGGCAGAGGGGGCTCGTTCTGTCATTTTAGCAGATGGGAGGCTGAATGCTGGAGAGCAGCGTGCTTGGCCCAAGCTGCACTCTGGGCCGTGTGTAAAGTCAGGACCAAGACTTGGCTTCCGACCTCCGGTGCCTTGTGACGGCTAAAAGTCTATTCTGTGTCATCCCTGAGACTGACTGACTCTTCATTCCCCCAACAGGGCTAGTGGTGGTGAATCATTACCTAGCGTTTCAGTTTTTTGCAGAGGAATATTACCCTTTCTCAGAGGTAAGGAGTCTTCAGTGTGTCCTCAGACTGCCGACGGACTACCGCGGCAGGGGTGAAGGGACTTGTGCGAGTCCTTTGTGAATCTGGCTCTGATTTGAAACTGACTATTCAGTAATAACACATTGAAAAATAATAATATCCATGATTTTAGAAAGCTGTGAGTGTGAGGAGCAGGGACCCTTTGGCTGAGGAAGAAGGCCGCTGGGTCTCCCAGGATCCCAGCCTGACATCCTGAGGTCAGGAAGGGGCGAGGGGTGACCTGGTCTGATGCCAACCTCACAGGGCAGGGCTAGGCCACAGCCTTGAGCCCTGCTGCTCTAGTTTGAACCCTGGAGAAGAACAAGGTCGCTTCTCCAGGAGATACAGGTCGGTCATGGTTTTGCCTTCCATCTACATCCTTTGGTTGAGGAGTTGCTCGTCCTGGTGACCAGGATTCAGGGATTTTGGCCTGAATCTTGGTCATCTTCAGTCTCCACCTTTCCCCACTGAGTCTCCATGTCTGGGGCTATCCTGTCTCTGCTCCCTGGGCCCCGGTCCCCTTCAGAGAGCCCACGTGGGGCCGTCGGTGTGCCCTCGGCCACCCTTCTGAGATACACGGTGGCTGCTCCTGGGCCAGCCTCGCCACCCGGGCACCATCTTCTTGGTGTCTCTGTTGCCAGGTCCTGGCCTATTTCACCTTCTGTCTGTGGATAATCCCGTTCGCGTTCTTCGTGTCGCTCTCGGCTGGGGAGAACGTCCTGCCCTCCACCATGCAGCCAGGAGGTGAGAAGCGGGCGGGAAGGGGTCATGGTGGGAGGACACCAGCAAGGCCTGAGCCGCTGAGGGAGCAGAGCCCACCCTGAGAGATGCACACTGAATTCTGGGTGGGCAGCACTGTGTACTCACACGCACAGACACACACACACAGACACACAAACACACACAGGCACACACACAGACACAGACACACACACAAACACAGACACACACACAGCCACAGACACACAGACAACAGACACACACACAACACACACACACAGCCACAGACACACACACACAGACACACACACTCTCACCTCCCTGCCTGTGTCTCCACAGATGACGTGGTCTCCAATTACTTCACCAAAGGCAAGCGGGGCAAACGCTTAGGGATCCTGGTTGTCTTCTCATTCATCAAAGAGGCCATTCTACCCAGTCGGCAGAAGATATACTGACCCCCTGGGGAGGGGATGCTGGCACAGGAGCCGGAGACTCAGGCCCCTGGGCCTCTGCACTGGGTGGGGGCCGAGAGTTGGAAGGCACCTTCTCCCAGCCCCAGCCCTCCTTCCCTCCACTCCCCTGGAAGCCCTCATCCCCACCCTCCTCAGGAGGCTCAGCTCAGGTCAGATCTGATACTGCTGGAGGCTGAGACCTTAGAGGCTGCCAGGGAGGAGTCGGGGCCTGCTTAGCCAGGAGGCCACCACCCACCTGGGTGCACGGAAGCTGAGCCCGTGGCCCTCCTGTTCCCTCCTGTGATCGGTCAGGAGTTCTGGCTCAGCCTGGGAAGGTAGGGCCAGGGCCATGAAGCTGAAGAGCAGTGATAACTGCCAGTGGGCAGATGGCCATGGGAGGGGCTGTGACTTAGCACTTGCAAGAGAAAGCTTTTGCTGTTGAACTGTGATTTCTGTCCAAGTGCTGATTCCCATTTGAATAAAGATTCTAGGTGGCACTGTTTGCCTTAATACCCTGAAAGTTCATCTTTCTTCCTGCAGACTTTCCGCCTGGACTGGCTTTGCTGCACCAGGGCTCTTTCTCCACGTTTGGGTCTTGCCCTTCCGAAGGGACCATTCTTGTGGCCCATAGTGGGAAGGGGACAGAGATGAGCCGAACCTGCCGGGGGGATGGGGAGTGGAAATGGAGGCAACCTTTCTTAGTCCCTGTCTCTCTTCTTCCGTCTCTTCTTCCCCTGGGGCTCTGTGACTGCCAGGCTGAGGGCAGAGAGGGGATAGTGTGGGACTGGGTTAGAATTTTCAGGAGAACATGTATGATATCCTATTTGTAAGTTTTGTCCTAGGGAAGAGGAGTGGTTTCTGGCGATTTCTATCTCGGGCTTGAGGAGAAACAATAAAAATTGGCTTCCAGGCAGCCTGGACTACAGCCTGCTTTGTAAGAAACGGGTGGTGGGAGAAGCTGTGTGTTACTCCAAGCACACAGGGCTGGCCCTCTCTTCTGAGTGGTCACGGCTCCTGGGAGGTGGTTGTCTTCTAAGAAGACAGTCCAGGTCCTGGGCATAGGGCAGCATTTGTCGACCTTGCACTCCAACTATAGTGCCTTCCAAGTACTCAGCAGTATGTATGGGAATGAAGTCCCCATGGGAGCCATTACCGGCATGTCCGATACCTCACAGCAAAGCAGGCGGGTGCAGAGATGGACAGCACACATATGGTACCTTTCAGCCACGGGGAAGACCTCTGTGCTTGCAAACCTTATTTCTACCTCCTGCCTCCAGTCCCACTGTAGCCCTTCATTTCCTTGGCTTTAGTATTCCCTTTCTCTTAAAAATAACCATCCCTCCCCTTTGCTGGGGAGGAGCAGCCATTTTGGCCTCCTCTCAGTGACAGGCCCTTCTGTCCTATGCAGACAAGGCAGGACAAGGTCCAGGACGCTGGAGGCCAGTGTCCTCCTGACTGCTGGCCAGCAGCTGGCCTTGCTGTCTCTTGCTGTCTCTCTCTTTCTCACCCCAGTGGCAGCTTTGCCCCTCCATTCACTCCACTGCTCATGTTCCAGGAGCTGCCAGTGGCCTTGTGCTAAGTCCAGCGGACCCTGTTCACATCTCTTTCTACGTCTCTGCAGCGTCGGGCAGGTTTCATCACTGTTGGCTTCCCAAGCCCTTTTGTGGCTGCTTCTCCCTCTCTGCTCCTTCTAGGCCAGCGCAGGCTCCTCCCCTCACCCTGTGCACAGGGTTCTGTCGTGGGTTCCTTGGAGGAGCCTGTCCCTTGCTGATGGCTTCAAGGAATTGAGAGCTGACCTCCAACCCCAGCATCCCTTTTGGTCCTCTGAACCACCGTTCTGCTGCCTTTGGGCTCGCAGACAAACCTTGTGACCCAGATAGCGCTTGTTGCTGTCCTCTGCAAACCTGCCTTTTTTGGGTACCTGCTTTGGCCCGAAGATCACTCAGGAGCCCAATCAGACACCTGGTTTCTCTTTCTGCCTGGACTTCCAATCTCTAACAACTGTCAAGTTTACCTTCTTAACATCTCTTTATTTGAGCCACTCCCACTGTCATCAGCTTTCACCTGGATTATTGTGGCAGCCTCTGGCTTCTCTATCCCACAGCTGGAGTTGTCTTTCTAATGCATAGTTGATCCAGTCTCTCTCTGGCTTGCAACCTTCCCTGGCTCTCCACTGCCCTCAGGATAAAGTCCAGACCCCTAAGCATGGCTCGTGAGACTCGTGGTGGCTTGGTTCCTGCTTGCCTATCTGGCCTCATCACTGGCCACTTTGCACTCTGAATTTCAGCCTCCTGTATCTAGAAATGCCCTGTTGCTTCTCCTTCATTCTACTCACCTGGTTACCTTCTCTGTCAGTTCTCAACTTGGACTTCACTTCCTCCAAGGAACTCGATGTCCCGTCTCCCTCCAGCACACCACACAGATCACTCTGGTCTTACCTGCCTGCTGACTGGTCTGTCTCCCCACTAGACTGTAAGCTCCTTGAGGGCAGGGAGTGTCCAGTTTTTGTATCAACAGCGCCTAGCTTGGCACCTGGCACATAGAAAGTACTCAATAAATGTTTGTTTAATGAATGATTTGCAGTGATGTATACAGGGGCTAGCAGGGGATCCAGGTGAGCTTCCTGGAGGAAGTAGGAGTGCTTTCGGCCTTAACCTCCGTCCTCCATATAGAGACCGCCTGTGCTGCTCTGAACTGCAGAGACCCCACTGGCAACTGGGGTGAAGGAAGACCGGAGTGGCGGGAAAGCCAACGGCAGGGCGACACTAGCCTTCCTCCTCCCTGTTCTGGATCTGGAAATGCAGAATGAGGCTTAGAACCTGCAGCAGGAAGGACTTAATATGAACAAGAGGCAGAATTTCAAAGTGGCCCCTCATCCTGGAATCCTCACCTCTGGTGAGCTGTTTGGGGTAGGAGGGGGAGATGGGGATCCCAAGGTGTCACTTTTCCAGTGCTAGGGTCCAGAACAGAGGGATCCCCACTCAGCCTTGGGATACTGCCCTAACTTGGATCTCCTGGGGGAGATTCCTTTGTGGAGAGAAGGGGATCTGGGGTTGTGGGGGAGGGGGCTGCCATCCTTGAGCTTGAGGGTGGGCAGCCTGTGGGCACTCCCCCTTCCTCCCCATCCACACAGAATCACCACACTTCAGCCTTCACTGAGCAGTCTCCAGTGGAGAGGCTACCAAAGTAAGTTTAAGGGAGGGGTGATTTAGGGGAAGGCAGAGCGGGGAGTCCTTGATGGGCTCGAACAGCCGCCAGGAAGGCTTCGTCGAATGTCTCTCGCAGGTTCATGCTCAGCATGTCGGTCCAGAAGCTGCTGTTGCCCAAGTGCCGCTTCCGGGGCACCTCTCCCATAGTGACAGAGCAGAAGCCCTGGGGCACCTTCATTCTGTAGGGCCGCACCGAAGGGTACAGCTCGCGGATTACCACTTCAAAAGGCAGCCGAGGCACAGGCTCCACATGGCGGCCGGCCACCGTGCACAGGTGCGCGCCACCGTGCCCGTCGGACCTCACCTCCACGAAGCAGCGGAAGTCACGCTCTGGCCTGGGGTCAGGATGCACACCCAGGCGGACGCCCTGTGGGTAGGCAATCTGGGCGGTGGGGGACCTGGCAGGGTTGCTGCTAAGATTCCACACCTTGGGCCGCCTGATGGTGGGCGGCTTATAGGTGGGCGCAGGCATCAGCAAGGGCATATTGGGCTGCTGTATCTGTTGCAGGCGCGCCTCCGGGGATGGGTGGAAGGTCGTGGGAGGCCACAGTACCCCGTCCTTGCAGGTCTTGGAGCGGGCCGTGGCCCGGGGCGGAGCACGGGGCTCTCGCTGAACGCTGGGTATTCGGGACTGGTCTTGGAGTAGCAACTTGCGATGGAGCCACTTCTTGAAGTCAGCTTCTCTCAGAATTTGGTGCTCCTTCTGCAACATCAGAAGGCACAAGATACTTCTGGACAGCTGCTCCCCCTCTGCTTCTGTGAAAGCAGGCCCTGTGGCTGTAGCCCTGGAAACCCCAGGTCTAGTTGAGCAGATACCTTCCTGCCCTTTGCGAGCCCAGAGTCTGATGAGAGAAACCCCTGCCTTGTGGGAGCCTTGTTCTGATGAGGAAAATACTGCCTGGAGGGGCCCCTGGCTCGTGCGACAGAGCCTTTCCCACAGGGGAGACCTCCAGTCAGATGGAGACTCGGCCTCTGTCCTAGGTGAGGTCTCCAGCTTGAGAGGGGAGACCCAATCCCTGCCCTGTGGAAAAGCTTGAGTCTTAATGGGGGGAACTCCTGCCCCCCCATAAAGGAGTTCCCAGCCTGCCTTAAAAGTTTCTGGTTTGATGGCGGGGGGGGCGGGGCGGGGCGGTGGGGAGGCAAATGAGTGGTGCAAACTTATCCTTGACCCTGGAAGGAGAGAACAGAGAAGTCTGGAAGGCCAGCAACTGGATGGAGCGAATCTGAGCAGGCTTCTTGGAAGTAGAGGCCTTGAGCAGTCAGGGTAGGGAGGGAGACAGTTGGCTGGTGCTCCAGACTGGATGGTGATGCTGTCTGTCCTTCCTTCCACTAGAGCTGAACCTTCAGCTTGTCACAGAACCACCCCTTCCTCCATCCCCGTCTCAGTTCCCAGACTGTTGCTAAGCAGTCAGGTGGTTTGGAGACTGACCCAGCTCCAGAGGTAGGCCCCCCTGATTAGGCTAAGCCAATCATCATAATTCCATCAGCCTTGCCCCAGACTTCAGTCAGTCAGCACATGGCTTTCCTTGAGCTCTAGGGATTGGAACAAGAATGCACAGGTGATCCAATTGAGGCCAATAAGAGATGAGGAGAAATCTTAGAGACACAGGGACAGATGGGCTTTGCCTCCTCTGGATACACACGTGACTGAGAGCTGGGTGGACCAACAGTGGGTATGACAGGGAAAATGAGAGGAATGCAGCTGGAACAGAGCTGAAATACCCAATTTTGCCAGCCCCAAAGCCCTCCCCACCCCTGGATCCACTTAGGAGTCCCAGCATCTTCTTGTGGAGT